AGTTCTTGATTGATTGTTCACGCTTACAGTGGCTTTCAGACAGCATACATAAAAACAAATTTCGTCTCCCCCCTCCTCTTTTCAAAAAATAGATGGACTAGTCCTGGCAAACAGCCAATCGTTGCGCGTGACGCAAACGTTATTTTTATATATATAAATAAATATGCCGTTTTCAAAATAAATTTATGCAAACCGACACACCTGATGATGACCGTTTGAGTTATGGTCGAAACGTCGTGAGAATTTTTTATTGTTTTATATATATTGTTATTTTGTTGTTTCTCTTCAACGTGACTTTACCGAAAAAACTAAGAATATGAGGTAGGAGTTGTCAACTGCACCGAGTTGAAGAGGAAGAGAATTCCAGACAGCAGGAGCTTAAGTCGGAAAGGAGTTACCTTCCACGACTGACACAAATTAAAGGTTACGTTTATCAAAAGTAAGGATTGTGTCGCGGTGCAGTGGTTATCGCACTTGGCTTGCAATCCAGAGATCATTCATTCTCCCGGCGTGGCAGCTGAGGCAATGGTGAACGTTGCTTAAATCCTCCCCCCCCCCTGCTCTGCCCAACTCTGTCCACCCATCAGGATAAACGAGTGCGCCAAGGTAGCTCGGGAGGCCGCTTGCGGTGGGGTAACGTGTGGGCACTGCCACCGATCTCAAGGCGCCCGCTTGGTGCGGGAGGAGGACTCTGTCCGGAACTCCCTCGCCCTTCCACAAGGAGCGATACATGTCAGGGCTGCGCCTTTAACCCCTCACCCTTGACTCAGCTGTGAAGGCGAACAGCAGTACGAGTAGCATCCCCCGCTGTACGTCGGGGATGCGTTCCTCAAAGGTGCGACGACGAATATCGAAACGACGTAAATCGAAGCGATGTACAGGGCGGTCGTGGGTGGTGGAGGCGAAGGCTGAGAAGCGACGGACATCGAGAGAGGACTGATGATGATGCTGTCAGCGACGTGAGTGTGGGGTTGAGGCGACGCAGACTCGGGTAGCGGTGTTAATACGAAAGCGACGACGCGTTTGCGAAACGACGTCAAAGAGCGAGACGTACATCAGGGTATTGCTGTATTTGCATACAGCTTCAAAGCAGAGCAAACGGGTTTAGTCGTAGCGTATTCGCATTATGGAACAAGTGACCAATAAATCCGGATATCTCAAAAGTTGTAATCTTGGATTGACACGAACGCTATGCATGCCAGTTTCGCTCGTGTTTAAGTCCATCCTTATTTGTGTAAAACACCCTCTCGTTAATAATACGATGATGGTGTAATACGTCACGGACGTTCGTTTTTATCTTATCCATTTCACCTCGGCAGTGCCAATGTGATGAGGATCATGACCCTAGCGTGCCAGCTTTTTTGAACGTTACACCCTCGCGTGATCATGGCTTTGTGAAGGTGCTGCAGTTGCATCCCCCAATTATCCGCCACGTCATATCTACTGCTGGATGAAAGACTCCCCCACATCGTCGCCGTTATCTCTCCACCTCCACGACATTCATCATCTGGGGCCTCTTCTCTCCATCACCAGTACAGGCATAAGCTAAGTAGGGTCGCCACGCTGGCTAGATGGTAACTATCTCGCCCTCTATAATAGAGGGGTTTTTTCGGCGTTAGATCGCGTAAGTATATAAATGTGCCGTTAAAACCCGCCACAACCCGACACAGCCAACTAGTAAGGGTTGTCACGTAAACAGAACGTGGCCAATTCGGCACTAGTACAGCACACCGGTGTGTTGGAGAGCCAAGCCACAACATTTACAATCTGAGTAACGACGCTTCGCCAGTAATCACAACCAGCTTCATCAGGCGACAGCCAGATTTGTGGAGAAGACCACCTGTTTCGTCCCTTATATAGAGGCGTAGATGTGGTGACCACGCTTGTGCGCTCTTGCACAATGTGGGGGGGGGGGGTACTGAGTTAACATACATGATGCATGCGCATTATGCGACCACTTTGATCTTATCCTTCCTGTCCATTGTGTGTATTAAAATAGCTATAACAACGGTAATCCCTATTGAAGTATGGTGCTCTTCATAGGCATGCATTTAACAATGTATTATTTGATGATTCGCTTCCACGCAGCAGTAAATCGGTAGCTATCCAAACGGTTAAAATTATTTGTATTTCTTTCAATTTCGATAGATTCTCTAATTAGTCTTGGCCAGTAGTAGCTAGTTTTTCACAGAACTTCAACATTATTAAGTCAATTGAGTGTCCTTGTTGGCACGCGTGTTTATCTCGCCCTACAATGCAGGATGTCAGACCGTAACCCTGACGTCTGTATATTCGGAGTTTGCACGTCACGTGTTTTCAGCGAACTTTTATTCTCCTTATAACCTTTCTGGGCTGACTTTCCTTTAGAGTTTGAACTCTGCAACGTCATTGCAAATTGGGTTTTTGTACGTCGCCTGACTTTGTTTGGAATCCCACTTTGGAAACGATCACATATGAGTGCGTATTCATTGTATGTTGACAGGCACTAAATTTGTATCTAAACTCGTGCCAAGAATACGGAGAGTCAGATCATTTGACGGAAGTTATTTTTCATATTACATGTAAAAGGTACGAACTAAACACAATCATGAGAATCGTTTGCGGAGAATATAAATAACAAAATAGATACGTGGACAACGTGTCGATCATACATCTGTCTCTCTATATCAAAAATAAAAGTATTTCTCACGCAGACAAGGTACTGGGTTGTTTTTTTAAGACAACATTTTCATTTATTGCACGCCTAATCCATGCAACACATAATCAACTGGGACCATGATGCTGAGATGGCATTTAGAATCAACATGCGTTTAGAGTATTTGGCTGCTTTAAATTTCTACGTGGTAAGCCACTTTGTTGAACTATCATTTGTGGCCAGGTCGTTTCTAAAAGAAAAAAAAACAGCTCCATAACTCAGTGGGTCTTAGCTGGTAAAATAAAAATAGGTCGTTAGTTCGTTCAATGCATACCATTTGACATGAGTCTATGATCCCAATCACCCTGCATTCGTCAACAGCAGCCGATGAACACAGAGATAGAACCCTTCGCAACGACATGTTTCTTCTCACACAGCTTAAAGGTCGCGATCTGAGCGTGGCTTTTTCGCTCCAGCGCTGTCCTCCAGACAGTCTCGTCCCTTCACCTGATGAATGCCGCTTGTGTTGTGGCCGAATCGTCGTGAGAATTTTATTGCGTTATTTTATTTTATCAATTTATCATTTTATTCTCATTCTACGTGACTTTACCGAAAGAACCAAAGAAGACATTAGCTGGGTTGTGCAATAAAGCTGTTTCATAACTCAAACCCGATGTTGGCAAACAGTGGAAACTGTCATTTCAGTAAACAATGAGATACTTTTCGTATTGCCCTACAATACAAAATTGGCTTAAGATTGTTTTTTTGTGAACGGAAAATGAATATTGAAACCGGCCCAGAATTTGTGTGTAGTGAACCAATGCCGCTAAAAAGATGCACTCCCAGGGAGGTCAATTGTTGCGCCACGGGATTGCAAGTCCAGAGTGCAAGTCCGGTGTGCTAACCACTACACAAGGTCTCGGCAACCAAAGTAACAAGAAGGGCCATTTTTATTCGAATTAAAAAAAAAAACCCTCAATATATCAAGAGCCGCAATTAATGTGAATGCGAGACTGTCAAAAACAAGTAAGGTCACGAAGCAGTCCTTGAAAGGTCGCATGCGGCTCCGCCACCGACCCCTGCACGACACCATCGCGTCACTCTTTGACATTCGTGTGGCCACCGTTATCCGCCGTGAGCGATCATTGGACTCGGGTGGCGGAGAGGTTCGTAGCGCAGTGGCGCTGAACACTGCGCCGCCGCTCCCGCACGCAAGCAACGAAAGGCGTCCACGTTCCAGTCTGGTCGTGAGCATTACACCACGGAGTGGCCCCACCTACTGCGCTACGAACGCGCCGGCGACCTGAGTTTGATTCCCGAATTCATTGGCGGTGGATTACATTTTGTTGCTAACTCGTCTTGGGCCGTTCTCCTTCACCAATCCACGTTGTATGTGCACGCATGGTTGGACTTCTTTCGCGCCGTACGTAGCCAACCGAGATAATCGGAAGGGGCGCGGGAAAGACAACAAAATACACACAAAAAGTAGTTTTAAAGAAGTGAGTTTTTAATCTAGATGATGATTTAAAAGTGCCTAGCTCCAGTGGCTTTCTCATGTCGGAAGGAAGAGCGTTCCAGACGGCCGCAGAAGCGCATCTGAAAGCGCGCGACGCGGTGACCACCGTCTTTGTTCGATGTTTATCCAAAAGCCGCCGCTGTGAGCACGACCGCAGTTCACGCCACGGTGGTCTCTGCTCCTTGGCCACATCGGCGAGGTGTTGTGGTTCGTTTGTGGCAGGCACTTTGTGTGTGGCGAGTGCGACCTCATGTAACGTGTTCTCGTTCGGCAAACGGAAGCCAATGCAGCTCGGCCAGCAGCACTGGACGGACACGCTCGGGTCTCGCGGTGCCGGCCATGATTCGTGTCAAACTATGTTGTCAAACTATGTTGTACGCGCTGCATGCAGCTTGCTTGACCGCCGTGGTCAAGTACGGACGAATTAACCTCAATACCACCCCCTCCCTCGGCACCCCTAACCCAACATCGCATGGGGGCAGTATTCACCGTGCGGTAGTGAAAGAGCCAAAAGGCTGAAAGTTCCCAATTTAGAAAATATATTATCATTATGACTTGAGTAAAATAAGTAATATTTAAAAATACTTCCTTAAAAACACGCTTTAATGAAATGTACCGTACTCGTAATGGCAAAACTCCACGACTCCAGGAAGTGGCCCCGAAGCTTGCCACAACGGGACCGTCGTGATTACAGCCAACGTCAGTGGACAAATAGACCCAAGCCGAAACATAAGATATAAAAAAGAATGTTTAAACATTTAAAAAATATATTTTTAATGATAGAATATAGTATCGTCATCAGTATGACGTAAGCATACCAAGTTTGCAGTCGATACCACATTGGGAAGTGGGTTTAAATTGAGTTACAAGATTTGAGGATACAACAACAGACAGAGTGAGTTAAATAAAAGCGTGTAATAAAAATGAATAGCTTCAAAACAGTCGACTTCAAAAATATGTATATTCTTAAAAATAAATACATGTGTATTTATAATCATATTTACGAAATAAATGCACAAATTGTGTTCAGATTTAACACGCATTACAATAACAACGAAAATGGCTTTAGGAACATCGTATGGAGAATAATTTCAAAGGAGACAACGTTGCAGTTTAAACATATCTGACTTAGACATACTCTAATACGCATTTCTCGTGTAGGGCATGGTCTGGGCGTGAGTTTATGTCTCTCCCCGATAAGTTTTTATTTTATTTTGTACCGAGTGCTGTTGGCTACGATACTCATGGGCACAACCTGCACAAGTCTCTTATTATTAGGCTCAAGAGGTGTACCTCATACACACAAAAACAGGTTCCAATCGACTGTTTTAACAATGCCAGCGCCGCTACCAAAAAGAATGAGCGAGAATGTATTAGTATTATTATCTGCTTGTTCCATCGAACTCCCCTTTAATCCAAAAAGTTGTATCAAGTATATTTTTTTACAGCGACAGATTATGCGGAAATATGTTCGCTTTAATATGCTGGAAAACTGGTGATGAAATGAATATATAATCTGTTTCTATACATATGCAACAACCAGATTTACATATTCTTTGGTTCTTTCGGTAAAGTCACGTAGATAAAACAATACAAGTAAATAAAAGTAAAAATATAGCAGGATGACGATCGCTTGTGTTGTGATCGAAACGTCGTAGTTTTTATATTTTTCCTTTTATTTTTCTATCTACGTGACTTTACCGAAAGGACCAAAGAATGTGAATGCCTGCAGTCACGAAAGTTTTAAGTCAAAATTTAACCAGATCAACAACTCGTGCTTAGAGCCACGTTTATACGCACACGAGCTGAATTGATCGATCGCTCCATCTCCTCTGAATGCGTGCAATCGAGACAATTCATTTCGTGACTGCAACTGTCATTTCTCATTAACCTTCGGCAATAATAATTAATCAGTATCATGATTTGCAACATTTAATTATCGCAACTGTCATAATGAGGAGTCCTCAGTGACGAATTCTATCCCTTCGCTGCCACTATCACATCGGCGATAATAAGAAGATAAGTGGCATTGTTAAATAGTTATACTTACAATGCGCTTTCAATGCAAAGAGACGCTCATGTATCGCCACGCGACACGAGCAACGTCACCTTAAGATGTTTTCTTGTTCTTTGTTTGTTGCGGTTGCACCCGATTCAAGAGCCGAATGGCTCACGGGGCTATACCAAAAGAAATGAAACTTGAAAAAAGCTGAAATGAAACAATCGCAGCTGCGTCCTCTCAACGCGCACGCTGAGCGGCCCTCGGGCTCCTGCCGTCACGGATGGTCTCACGGTCTCCCGCAGCGCAGCCGCGGATCGCGCAGGGCGGCCCACATGATGAGCGTCTGGAAGGGCTCCACTCTGTGCACCAGAATCACCTCCCTGTAGTAGCACGGGTGGAAGGAGGACACCAACGCCGCACGCTTCGCGGCGCCTCGGTTCGGCGCGGGCAGCGAGATGCCCGCCGTGCGGAACGCCGGGTGCCTCGTGGGTGCGAGCCCCAGGGCCGCCAGGCATTGCCCCAGAAAGACGTCGTCGATGGGCAGCATGGCGAGCTGCCCGGCGACGCGGCGGATGTCCAGGGCCGTGCGCCCGGCCATGAGGATTCCCCCGCCGCCCACGTAGGGCGGGTACGAGTCCCCGGCGTGCACCTGCACGGGCACGAAGTACTTGCTGCTGGGCGCGCGGATGGGACCCACGTTGGAGATGACGTAGCCCTCGTAGAGGTGCCCGTCGCCTCGGCCCGCCCGCTCCTCGGCCGCGATGCGCTCCAGCAGGTTGGGCGTGTTGACGAAGACGTCGTCGTCGCCGTCGAAGACGTAGCGCGCGCCCGCGCAGCGCTCATGCAGCCAGTCGAGGAAGAGCAGCTGCTTGAGGGTCAGGTTGAAGAAGGTGTCCAAGAAGTTCCACTGCACGATGTCGCCGTGTTCGCGGCTCTCCTCCTGCAGGAGGGCGTTCAGGTGCACGCGCCTCTCGGGCGCCTCCCCGCTCGGCACCCCCACGAGGAACACTCGGCGCACCGGGCGGCCACGCACGCTGCCCTCGCGGCCCCACGTCCTCCTGATCACGTCGCGGCGCTCCAGGTTGCGCGCGTCGCTCTTGATGGCGAGCAGCAGAGTGACGTTCGGACGTGAATGGCACTTGCTGCCGTCCGGCTGCAGGATGAGCCCGAAGCTGCGGCAGTGGCGGTGAGTGAGGAAATCTTGCACGGCCTGAGACAGCGAGGCGAAGTCCTCCACGGCGTGAGCGACGGTGGCATTGGGCGAGCACTGAAGGGAGCGGCCGTCCCAGCTCGGAGCGCCACTCATTGAGCTCTCGTCCCAAAGCCTGGGGAAGAGCTGCTGCTGCTGCTGCTGCTCGTGTCGCTGCTGGTGCTGGTAGAAGTTAGACCCCGAAAATGCAGTATTCGGGTCTCCTCTCCCCGTGCTGTCTAACCACGGAAGCTCTGCCTCTGCTTGTGACGGGTGGCCCTGAGCAGCACCTGCGCGCAGCAGGAGAGCCCGGAGTTTGGGGTGAAGTTGGTGGGACGTGGGGTCGACGAGGATGTTATAGGTGAGTATGAGAAGAGTTAACGACACCAACGTGAAAGCGATCAGGGCAGGCACGTGGTTGAGCGCGATCATGATTTTCATCGTAAGTCCTCGTTATGTTGTTATCGTTATTATTTGTCTGGTTTAAAAAATATATATATATTTTCGTGTTAAATTGGACTTTTTGTTTTACCCGATTCCTATAGAGGTAGTATTATAATAGTGTTCTTGTGGTCATATGTACCTGTACACGCCATACGTACGAATACGTATCAGGCTAAGCTGACGATGCCTCTATTAACGTCGCTCGCGCTGCTGTAAGGAGCACGCGCGCAGCGGGGTAACTCAGCGTAACGGGGGAGTGTACATGCCGTCTCCTGGCGAGTCCAAGGAAGTCGCGCCCTCTATATGAAACCCTCCTTCTCCTCCTCCCCCACACCCGGCCAGAGATGTATTTATTTTTACCCACGGTTCTTTTTTTTTTGGTATCCAAGGCGGCTCTTTGGAGATCTGCATCGAGCGCAGCGCGCTTAGAGGCACGCACGCGACTCGCCTCTCATTTTGCTTGCGAAGGCAGCAGCAGAAGCAGCAAGATCAGCAATAGTTGCTCAGGAGCCTGCCCATATAGAGGTCTGCTGCTGGCCACGACTAGCGGGCTTCGGGAGAGAGTTCGTGTAGCTTTGTTATTCCTCCTCCGTTGAATAAGCGCAGACTACAATGGATAATATACGGCCCGTGCGTGATACTGTATTAAACGAAGGCTCTTTGGTTATTTCGGTAAAGTCGCGTCGAAAGAAAAGAATATAAATAATAGAATACGACGTTTCGATTGCAACACAAGCAACCGTCACCAGGTGTTAATGACTGCAAGCTCGGAGAGAGACACATATACAGAGAGAGAGAGACACAGACACTGAGAGAGACAAACACAGACACGGAGAGAGACAAACACAGACACGGAGAGAGACCCATATACACAGAGAGAGACAAACACAGACACTGAGAGAGACAAACACAAACACGGAGAGACAAACACGGAGAGAGACCCATATACAGAGAGAGAGACAAACACAGAGAGAGAGACACACACTCAAGAGCAGCAACACATGGGGGAGACACATAGAGAGACACACACGCAGAGATAGACAGAGAAACAACGCCTCTGTGATGATGCATTATATATTACTTTACCGTAACGTAATGAACCAGGTAAAGTGTTAACTGTTGTGTTAGCCGACTCTCTGTGTTGCATTGCATTACATTTCTAAGTTGCCTAGGTTTGTTTTCTCAAATTTCCAATTTCTCTACCCCTGCCGCACTCTAAAGTTTTACTAGATTTGTCAACTTCCAATATCTCTACCCCTGCCGCTCTCATTGACATGATAATTTATCTGCCCTCCCCTCTTTCTCTATATATAAAGCCTCGTCACAGAGGCGTTGTTTCTCTGTGTCTCTGTGTGTGTCTCTCTCTGCGTGTGTGTCTCTCTATGTGTCTCTCCCCTATGTCTCTCTCTCTCTCTCTCTGTGTCTCTCTGTGTGTTGGTCTCTCTCTGTCTCTCTCTGTCTCTCTGTGTGTTTGTCTCTCTCTCTCTCTTTGTGTGTCTCTCTCTCTGTGTATGCGTCTCTCTCCGTGTCTGTGTTTGTCTCTCTCTGTATATGTGTCTCTCTCCGAGCTTGCATTCATTCACACCTGATAACGGTTGCTTGTATTGAAATCGAAACGTCGTATTCTATTATAAATTTTATTTTCTTTCTACGTGACTTTATCGAAAGAACCAAAGAGTAAATTTTGATTTAAAGCTTTCGTGAGTGCAGAGATTCATATTCTTGGTTCTTTCGGTAAAGTCACGTAGAAGTGAAACAATAAAATAATAAAAATATAAAACAATAAAATTCTCACGACGTTTCGACTGCAACACAAGCAATCATCATCAGGTGTGAAATCCACAGCAAGAGTAATTCCTGTCACGAAAGCTTCAAATCAAGTTTAAACGAAGGTGCTTTTCCCGGGACCGGCCAATGTTGTGGTTATGCAGCTACAAAGCATGCGATCGTGGTTTTTTTTTAATTCGTTGCATTTTTGTCGACTGGTGTTGCTGAGTGGAGCTTAATCGTGGTGGTAATCTGCCTCCGCTCTGCCTTATCAAAGCGCCCCAGGCACTTTGCTCCGTGGGTTTCCTGGGTGATTTTGGCAGCACCGCTGGGGTCGCCACCGCCAGTTACCGTATTAGGTTACTAGGCACAGGCAGGTTAAGTTTAAACTAAACTATTGTTTTTAAATGTATTATACCAGGTAAGGCCAACTGAGCTACATAGCTCTTTTTCAGAAGCGGCCTGGCCACAAAGGATAACTCGACGAAGTGGCGTATCATGTGGACATGTATTGCGGACAAATACCCTCAACGCGTCTTTTTTTTAAATGTGAAGGGAAAAACCGGAATGCAAAAAAAATCCACGCGACCCACGGGGAGAACGACACGCAAACTCCAGATATACAGACGTCAGGATCGGGCTCGAACCCACGATCTGCATACCGGGCGAGGTAGTTGACATCTCGCCGCCGTGGACCCCCACGGTGGAAGTGCGTAGCAAAGTATGCACGGCAAAAATAGTGTAGGGGATGAATACCGGGGAGGGGAAGGCGAGCACAAAGAAGATAATCAATTCACGGCTTTGCATCATGAACACCGCCCGACAACGAGGAAACGTTTCGAATCACGTTTCGGGAAATCGCCCTGCGTTTGTTTTCCTGTGTCAGTTCGATCCAACACTTTCGCCAAATATAAAAAGGAACACTGAAGGGACCTGCGTTGGCAGGGGTGCAAAAGTAGAGATCCATGCTCCGAAGAAGGATCATTGCCAAAAACGTCAGCCTATTTAGATATTTTTTGAAAAATATGTATAAGGCACTTTTCATAACGAATATGGAAAGTTTAGTCGACTATTGAGAGATCCCAATCTGTGTTGCGTATTAGTGTTGCGTGTGTGTGTGCATACTATGAGCAGGGGAAACCATGATTTTAAGCCTGGGAAATTGCATGCCAATGTAGAACTTCCGACCTGTATGTGTCACATCAACATTAGACATCTCCTGTCCATTGCACCATCAACGCTCCGAGTTGCCGAGCTAAACCCGGTTGAGTTCGAGAGATGTCTCAATCTGCTCTGGCCTCCTCTCGGTCGGCCAATTGATGAGTGTTTACAATTGGGAGTTAGACGCCCCTCCCCACCCCCTGAGAAAACCCACGCATGCGAGGGGGCAATACTCTATCCCATACAGATGGAACAGCTCGAGTTCACATTTACCGTGCCGCCTTCCGGTACGCTAGGGTATGGCAACCTCGACGCCGATGTGAAGGGAGTTCTACAACACCTGCGTGATCCACCAACCCTCGCCTCCCCAGTGCTGGATCGCAGGCCACGTGCATAGCCGACCACCGCGTTAACACCTGCGTGATCCACCAACCCTCACCTCCCCAGTGCTGGATCGCAGGCCACGTGCATAGCCGACCACCGCGTTGAAAGATGTGTGACAGTCTTTCCGCTCTCCGTGCAAACCAGATTTTGTAGCAGGACGAGCCCCTCTGGGCGTGCCCGAGGTGGCCGGACCAAGCAGGGGCGAGTTGCAATCGTTCATCAGCATCAGCAGCCGCTGCCTATCGACTGCTGGACGAAGGCTGCTACCATCCCATCTCGCTGCTGCACATGAACTGCTTTGAACGCTCCGTCTCCCCGGTGATCGGCCTCTCGGACGTGCCCCCTCCTTTGGCTGCCATTCCATTGCGAGTCTTGTCCATTGGCCATCATCTTGTCTCGTCATGTGCCATGCGCAAGGCAATTTTCTTTTCTTAAGAGTGCCACAGTGGCGAGATGTTAACTCCCTCTCCCGGTATACAGGAGCACGTGGGTTCGTCTATCTCCCCTCCGGGGGTTCCCTCCACATTGAGAAACAATAATTTCGAGTATTTGGCTGCTATACAGTTCCACACGATAAGCCATGTTGTTGAGCTGTCATCTGTGTGAACAGGGCACTTCTGAAAAAGAGCTATGTAGCCCCGTGGCTCTTATCCGGTACGAAAATATAGTTTCGGTTCAGCGAGAACGTGATGGCTGATTTTTGTTTGGAGTTCTGTATTCACGGTGAATTTCCTGCATTTTATTTGCACAAGAATGCCCGAGTATCAATATTATCTTTCAGCAGGTTCCTGCATGGAAATATTTGGCCAATTCCTTTTATCGTATTGAACAATTGGAGAAAAAGAAGCACGCAATGCGAGTGGAGGGCGCCACTCAAACGCGCGGATTGACGAACTTACTTGCGGCACTGCCATCTCCTGGCCACACGACGCCAATGCGGCGATGAGGGAGTCAGCGCAGTTCCCCCACGCTGTGGGGGCTGGGGTGAGGCGGTGTCCTGAGAGGGAGCTTCCCGTGGTGACGAGGTGAGATTACGGACAGAATCTGCGAACTTTGCCCCCCCCCTCCGCACTTCATGACGGATAAAAGAAAAGTTCTACTGCACCGCAATGGTTCTCAATCTACGCAACTACTGGATACTATACTGCCCCATTACTTAGCCTCATCAGACCGTGTCACCTTTATGAAGAGGGAACAACGCGGACTCAAAATGTCGTTATTTTGTTGTCCAAATTCCTGTGGGTGTGCCTTAGGCGTGTTTAGGAAATCTGGGTGCGTCTTTTAGCTATATATATAAATATACTGCATGCGCCTCTTAGCCATATCTAAACATGCCGTGGGTGTCCCTTAGCCATATTTAAAACAATTACGGGTGTCTGTTAGCCATATCTACGGCATATGGGGTGTCTCTAAACAATATCATGTTACCTATTATCAGGGCCGTCCATCGAGGGGTACAAATCCCACTGTGTGGGTCAGCCGACGCCTTCAAACCAAACCGCAAGTGTTCCATCTGACACCGTGACGTCGAAGCGCAGGACCCCCTCCCCTCCCCCAAAGTGCAGGGCCCTGGGCGGTCGCACCGATTCGCCGTACCCTAGGGTTGGCTCTGTCCAGAGTACCCCGCGACACGTCACCCAGCCCTTGCCTCCACACGCACCGGGATTGGGATTGTGTTGTGATAATAATAGCGCGCCGCCTTGCTCAGATGCATCAGGTCTCTCTACTGCCGGCACACATCATTCATTTACACGTGCACGTATATTTAATGACAGTTTCAGCGTGCTAAAACGTGCGAATGCAGGAATGTCAAGACAGTTAATGGGTAAACAATATTCGCTGAAAACGTCCAGCAATAAAGTTAGTCACGCGATGAGAGAGACATTGTGCAGAATTACGCCGGCATACACACTCACACAGATACGTGTCACACAGACACAGGTTCATTGAGCAAAGAGGCATAATGTGTCTATCCTGCACATGAGACATGGCTGTGCGAAACACCAATTCTACGTGTTCATGTTGGGTCCCTTTGTCAATCCACTGCTGGATGAGAACCTCCCGAAGCACTGCAATCGTGGGGGGAAGGGGGGGTTATTTGACCATACTTCACCACACCGGTGAGTACGGGTTTGGTGAAGGCAGGGAACATAGGAGTGGGAGCACAGAAGTACGGTACAATAATTGTTCTGCTGCTGCCCACAGCAGCCTGTGACGCCTGTTTTAAATCGCGGTTGTCGCCCATCCATGCACTATCTAGGCTGACGTAAGATATATACTGTAGTAATGTTCGCAAACAATCGAATTTCAAACACACAATTTCATACATGTATAGTTAGTGTGGCTCGATATTGATCAATTAGACGATGATACATTGGTGTACGTCGATATAGTATTCATATATTATAAAGTACCTTATGTATACCAGCTTTTCGTTTAAGATAATATACAACAGTTCGCAAATCATACTTTTTTAATACTCGGCATTTTATGTAAAAATTAATGAAAATCGTGTTAGGCTTACGATGCATTCCTGTAAATACGTACGAATATTCGACAATTGTTAGGACAGAAGGTCTGAGATGGTACATAAGTTGTATCATGTACTGATTGATTCTTTATCAGGAACCACATTTATACAAACAGTGGTCCGTTTGTTTTAATACTGCATATCTGTGTCCTTTAAAAAAAAATGTTATGGCTTCTGCGTAACCGAACCCTGTGCTTGTCATGAGAAGCAAACTATGAATCATCTCCTGCGATGTCCTGCAGCACCACAATGCTACTCCTCAAGATTTGACAATGCCAACACCAGAAGCGGCGACCTGTGCAGAATATTTGCAAAAGACAATGTAGGTTGGACAGGAGACACGAATAATAAAAATAACAATTTTAATGTTGCTTATTTTGTGATATTTATCAGCACTAACTGAACGTAATATCCACTTGTTTTTTTTAAATACATGAAATATATATTATTTTATCTCCCACTATTATACAAATTGTGCTGTAGACATCAGGTTGGAGACAAATACATCTCAATTTAACAGTGCATCTCCCAGCGTTAGAGAACGGCTCGTGGAAGGTGACATCACAACACTACTTCTGAGATCCCTTCTTTTGGGTCTTATCTACGCTGGGAGGTGGTGCTTCTCGCATGCTCTGCTTGAGAAACGTCAGTCACTTGATATTTATACCAACATTTGTTATGATCCTGAAACACTGTTATTTTGCAAAACTAAACGAAATCCTAATTTTTTTTGTGTGCAGCCATTGGTGACCAAAACTTAATACACTAGAGATGCCGATTTACTCACGAGCAGACGATACCCAGATTTTAATCAATGACCTCGACGGTGCCAGCACAATGCACTGGACTCTTGGGCTATCCGGCCACCTCCACATAAACCATTGCATGCGTAACGCATACACCTCTGTCGGTGCCACGTCCATCAACAACCAGCACCAGCGATCGTCCCGCGGCAGTTCGTCTTCGCTCAGTCACCTCCGTGCCATCATCCGTAGACGTTGCTGGGCCGGGGCTGGTAGTTGTCCGCCAGCCACACGAGGCCCTCGTAGAGGCCGTGGCCCATGATGGCGCACGACGGCTGCACCAGCCATCGCCTGGAATCTCCTTCTCCAGGACGGGGCAAGCCAAGCGCCTCCTGCAGCTCGGCTGGACGCATGGCCTCCGGCGCGTCCTGCTTGTTCGCCAGCACGAGCAGCGAAACGCCACGCATCTCGGAGTCGGACAGGAGGCTCGACAGCTCTTGCCGTGCCTCGTCCACCCGGTCGCGGTCGCCGCAGTCCACGACGAACACAATCGCCTGGGTGCCCGTGTAGTAGTGGCGCCACAGCGAGCGGATCTTGTGCTGCCCGCCCACGTCCCACACACTGAAGGAGGCGCTTTTGTAGCTCACGGTCTCCACGTTGAAGCCCACGGTGGGCACCGTGCTCTTGGTGGCCACCCCCTTGCCGCTCTTGAGCTTGTAGAGGATCGTGGTCTTGCCCGCGTTGTCCAGCCCAAGCATGAGAATTCGGATCTCCTTGTTCCCGAATGCCTTGGAGAAGACTTTCCCCATTGTGCGTGTGAGATGTCCTTAATACGCGCTCGGTGACAGCACTTGGCCCAACGGTCTGTCTGGCTATCAAAGAATAGTTTCCAATGTATTTTAGCCTTCTACTCCACGTCTCAATGTGTCTGTGGTAATGCAGACCACCTATAGAGTGGAATTACTGTGTATAATATTTAGTATGACAACTAAACAGCACCTTTCATCGCTGCCAGCCTTCCTGTGAAAAGAGTATTCGACACAAGTTGGACAAAGCGCTGAGTCGTTATGGAGCACGTTCATTAAAGCGAGTACAGCCTCATATATAGAGACAGCTCGATTGTCATCACTGATCAAAACAAAAACACGTCAAAAAAATCACCACGTTCATTTCTATATGTGCACAAGTACCAATTGCTCTAAAAGTATTTGTTATTATTTTCTTACCAATTCAGAAGGTCGGCCAACATTGGGGCCCAGGATTGAGGACGCTGTAGGCACAGAGTGAATAATCGCTCGCTCACTCGATCGCCGGTCTCGACTGTCTGCTGCTCGAGGTCAAATTCCCCCCACAATGCTGCTTATATGTAACAGATCTTTAATGTTTTATGGGGCAATTGGATTTAGCAACAACCAGAGTGTTTGAGGCAAGTGGCTGGCGGCGGTAGATCCCGCGTGGAAGTATGTATTGGTGATGTCTTACCAAAAAAAAATAGATGAGTTCAGTGCACAGATATTGATGTTGCTGCTGTGCTGAGCTGTCTGAAGCATTCTCGCAGCGTGTCTGGGCAGGATGAAGTAAGAGCTGAACGGCGTGCATACGTGGCAAAGGGTGCGCTGATGCGATTTGGGCAGCTGGCTCACAGAGGCAAATTCCACGTCAGGGAACTGAGCCAACACCTTTGGGACCCCTGGGTTCGGATCCAGGTTTCAGTGGCGCAAATAATTAACCATGGGTTTGCAAGTGGGGTGAGCTGATCTCAGCGTCGTCATGAATGGAGCTGAATGGAGCTCAAAATACTTCACAAATAAACAGCTTGTGAAAGACACAATGCAGAAGATCCCTGGGTCTGATCTTCCACGAAGCTCACGTTCCACCCTACACCACATCCGCACAAACCATGGCAGATACGGATACCTGATGCACATAAGGAAACTTAAAAACACTCCAGTGTGCGACTGTTGTCATCCAGAACAGACCGTACAACACATAACGACGCAATGCCCGATCCACAAATACGAGGAAACATCACAGCGATACACTCCGCTACTCCGGATGCGGTTATTTGGCTTGACCACCCGACGACGCGGATGGGAGCGGGGAAAACCCAGCTGGAGCTTCCATCGGAGTGGCAGGAGGGGGCTCCGGACGGGGGACCGCGCACATGGTGGGTGCCACTTTGCCCTCGGAGGACCTGCCATGGCTAGCGGGTGCTATTTTGAGGTGAGCGCAGGAACGCGTGGAGAAGGTGCGAAGATTGACGGAGCTCCAAGAAGCTGCCCCTGAGCTGGCACGGGAGGCTAGCGCAATATTCCTCCAGAAGGAGCGAATGGAGGCTGAGACGCCCTATGCCTTCGGGGTAGTGCTGCTGGTGCTGGGATGGGAGGCATGCCCCCTCTTGGGTGAGGGGGTGCTCGACCTCCGGGTGCCGGAAAGGCTGTGGGAGCTGGCGAGAAAGCTGAGAGTTGCCCTGCCCTCCGCCGTCAGCACAGAAATTTCATCCTCAATGGTGGCCCAGAAGAAACAAGTCTTCGAAGAACACCAGCAATGGGCGTGACGGGAGGCTGGGTCATGGAGTATGGACGACATGATGGTGGCGGTGGGTGGCTGGGGGACGCAAGCAAGAGGATTCCCGCGGCAGGGGCAGTTCCATCTGCCCTGGGAACCCGCTTCCAAGTATTTCATGTGTGGCCGGTCGGGCCACATCGCTGTGCAGTGTCGGGGTGACAGAGGGCCACCAGCAGAGTCACCCACCCCCTCTGATCTGCCGGCAAAGTCGACCCAAGTCCCACCAGATCCGGGTCTCTGAGGCCTACCAAGACCGCCAAGTGCGAGGTCACAGGGACCGGATCTGAACGGGTGCTGCCGAGCAGTGAGGGGCCACGCCCTTTAAGCCAAGGACTCCTTCTCCATCATCTCTTCTTATCCCTCGGGGTTCCGGAGTTGCAAGACCCTGCTGAGACGGGGGTGACCGGTGCAATGAACCGGATCGCGCGAACTACGTCCCGGTATTGGAGGACTCTTCCTTGGGTGGGGGCACCGAGAGAGAGGAGCTGTTGGGGCTTAGGGCCTAGGTAAAGAGGTTTAATTAAAGGTGTGCTGATTTGCGGTGGGGGGGGGGGAGGGGGGTGGGGGGGTGCCGTGCTCTGTAAAGTGTTGCCAATTCACAGAGGGGGGCGCCTTGCTGAGTAAGATGTTGACGATTTGCGGAGGGGGGCGCCGCGCTGTGAGAAAGGTTGCCGATTCGCGAGATTGGGGGTGTCGCGTTGGGCGAGTGTGCCGTTGGGGGCACCGCAGTGGTAGCGGGATTGTGAAAGATGGTTTCTTTCTTCGTTTTTCGAGTTCGATTGGGTAGTGTTAGCAGTGTTCCTCGAGATTGCGGGGTTGCTCTGCCTGCCCACCGGTTGTGGCTGCTCTATTGGCAGCTGGGACGGCTGTTTTTTTTTAACGGAGGGGAGATGTAGTGACACAGCGCCGACTGCTGTCCAGCAGCAGCAACTGCGGTGGACAGTTAGCGCACACGCCGTTGAGCATATACACGGTGTGTGTGTGTGTCTGCCGGCAGGTCGGAGGAACTGGGTCAAGGGTCACGGTAGACCTCATAGGGAAGCCGCTGGAACCCTCTGGAGGGTTCGAGAAGGGAGGCGCGTCTAGGGAGGGGCCAAGCCGCACCGAGTAGAATAGAAGCAGCGGAGGAGCGAGAGCTCCGGACTGCCGGTACTGGAAGTGGACTCTTCTCGTCGTCGTTGTCGCCGCCTTCGTCGCCGCCGCCTTCGCCCGGTCGTTGCGTGGCCGGACGGCTGTTGGCTGTCTCGGTCGACACCGTCGGTGGAACGCAAACAGGGTCGTGTCTGGGCCGGGCCGTACGGCAGCGTGCTCGAGAGAGAGGAGGCCGGAGTTGGTGGTGTGAACGAGATGATATAGAGAGAGACTGTGCCTCCTGTAACTACCTCGTCTCCGCCGGGAGGAAGGAGGACACTACACATCTATAGCCTGCTAAAGAAAAAAACAGCTGCTGGGTTTTCTGGTGTTGCAGGCCAGAGCCGCCGATTTGCGCCATGGGACCCATTGAGCACAATTTAAAGATGTGCACGAGATCTGCACACACATGTATGATGTGGCCAAAACATTATAAATAGTATCACACTCATCATGTCACTCTACTGATGGATGATGCCCTGCCTGCACAATGCCGGTGTTATTTTGACCCTATGCTTTGTTGATGTGCGTGGATTTTTTTTAGGATATTCGCTAATTTGGGGAATTATGTCAGCACACGATGGCCTACTCGTTTTGAAACACGTCAGGGGATGTTCAGCGCCAACTGTGAAACATGTGTGCTTGTGCACCGCTGCCATCGGCAGTAGCCGGGCAGTATCGCCATCGGCATCACCAGAAAGAATTGAGATGTAACTAAACTAAAAACTTTTTGTTATTTTACCAGGGAAGATCCACTGAGCTCTGAAGCTGTTTTTCAGAAGCCACCTGGCCGCAAATTGTAGCCAATTGAAATGGCTTATCAGGCGAAAATGTAAAGCAACCAAACACCCTGTACAATACTCTAAACGCATGTTTCTGTCACAGCGGCGACCTCAGAAGAGAAAAGCATCCCCGCCACCACCATTTGCTAATGTGTTTTATTACTCTGATCCTCACCCCGTGTATCGACAGTGCAATATTAATGTTCTATTTCATTGAGGGACTGTGTGTTGTTTTCCTGGTGTGGTCTGGGACTCTGTTGTTGTTTTGCTGCCTTGCCCAAGCTTGCATTTGGTGATGACAAATTGGCAGGAATGTATGCACTTTAATTTGCATACGTTTATTAACGTTTAGTGACTTGTGTACCTTGTTCTCGACGTTGCACTCCTATCGTGTTTGTGTACTGTTTGTTATTGTAACTCGCTGACCCGCCCCTGCTGGACATCTTTAAAAAAAATTGTTTTATAGCCTACGGATAAATAAAGATTCTGATTTATTTACTCTTAGGGGCCGTCCATAAATGACGTCACGCACCTGGGGGGGGGGTCAGATATTTGTGACGGGGGGAGGGTTGAGAAATGTGACGTCACATCAAAATGCGCAGCTTTAAATAAATATAGACAACACGTTCTACTTAATTAAATAGACTTTTTAATAAATGTTTTCTCCTACAACATCAGAGTGCAGCGCCACATTAAATACGCACTACAATGGCAATAGTTTAAAGCGATTTGAAGCATGTTTTATATATTTTTTTGGGGGGGGGGGGCAGAGCTTTGTGACGTCATATTTGAGGGGGGTCTGACTTTTAGTTGACGCCGTGTGACAAGGGGGGGGGGTCAAAAATCGTCCAAAATCGCGTGACGTCATTTATGGACGGCCCCTTAGCTACTTGCTTCTATTGTTTCATATTTTGCAGTCCTATCGATGTTGTTGTTGTTGTAACTCGCTGAACCGCCCCAACTGGACATCCGTAAACAAATAACAAACGCCGCCGGATTGCTCTATCAGCCTGAGTTGGGAATTGTCTTCCCCCTCCCCCACTTTACCCCGCCCCTCCCCTACTTTACCCCGCCCCCCTCCCCCACTTTACCCCCGCCCCTCCCCCACTTTACCCCCGCCCCTCCCCCCACTTTACCCCGCCCCTCCCCCACTTTACCCCGCCCCTCCCCCACTTTACCCCGCCCCTCCCCCACTTTACCCCGCCCCTCCCCCACTTTACCCCGCCCCACCCCCACTTTACCCCGCCCCTCCCCCACTTTACCCCGCCCCTCCCCCACTTTACCCCGCCCCCTCCCCCATTTTCCTCGCCCCACTTTACCCCGCCCCCTCCCCCACTTTACCCCGCCCCTCCCCCACTTTACCCCGCCCCCTCCCCCACCCCTTTGCCCCGCCCCACACATTTCCCCGCCCCCCCTTGCGGGTCTCTACATCTTCCAGAAGAGGAAGATCGACTTCCCATTCCACACTTCCCATTCCCCGCGAAAAAACAACGCGCGCCTTCTCCTCCTCCTCCTTCTTCATCCTCCTCCTCCTCCCCCTCGGGCCCCTGCTGCCGATTCCGCCGAAAAGCAACGGAATGGACGACGTGGAGCATAACGT